TGCAGAATATAAATGAAATTTGTATTCACGCCAGCTGTGTTAGAGATCCAGTACCACACACTGTATATCAAACAGAAGGATTCATCGAGGGAAAATAATTTCAGCTTCCAACAAGAGACCAAAGAAGGCTACTAAAAATGTACTTTCTTAATGGGCCTTTGTTCCTCTTGCTTTAATCTCCAAAACCCTGTATCTTCACACATTATAACACTAATCATTACCTTTCTTTTCCATTCTTACTGACACAGAAATGAAATACACAGCAAATGTGTTAACAAGAGTGCATTGAAGAGTCTTAGGACCAGTGCAACAGTGGTTCCCAGATGGAAACCCAGCTTAGAACTAGGCAAATGTTGTTTGCCTGCATTAATTCTCTTTGTTGCCTTACTGTTTAAGAAAACACCAGTGAAAAACAACTTGAGTTAGAGAAGTAGAGAATTTTTAATTTTTAATCTTTCAGATTGCTTCCATCACTACATTTAGACCTTGCCAATCTCTTATTTGTGAAGCATGGCAGCTCCCCTGTAGCCATGTATGAAAAACAGCTCCTCTGAGCTTCCAGGTCAAGTGAAACAAATGGGTAGAGCAAAACACCTGATGTGAGGAGCGCTGTGCTGTCCTCAGCTCCGCCAGTAGGTCATGACAGGATGGAAGGCATTCAATGCCTCTGTGTGCCCGTCTTCCCAGATTTCATCAGTCTGACAAAGTCTGTTGATGACACAGAGCTGGGGTATGCCATTATGACAGGAGTGGTAGGACACTGTACAGCAGGAAACCAAACTTGACGGAGAGTAGAAAAACAGAAATGGGGTGGAAGGTGTGGAGCACAAAGTGCATGATGGTCCCCTTGAGGAGCAGACCACAGAATCTTCTCCTACAAGCCGAGACCTCATGAGTTGAGGGCAACCACTGGTCACTTGTTAGAAGACGATGTACAAAGCAAAAACTCTAGAGGAAAGAACTTGAACTCAAGTTAAAGGACAAACGCTACAGCAGCAGTCAAGAAAATGATTTAGTGAGGTCTGTGGTAGTCTTCTATCAAGGACAGTGGAGACGGTTGGACTTGATGATCTGAAAGGTCTTTTCCAACCTTAATGATTCTACGGTATTATAAAATAACATCTTTCAAAAAACGGTGCTTCATCAGTCTATGAAAATCATATTCCAGGCTTGTGATCTTAAGTTTTGAACAGTTTAAGCTTCCTGACTTTCAAACTGGTTATGAAATGGGAACTGTTTATTGCCTATAGTAACAGAAATGTTCCAAGGATTACTTTTTAAATTTGACTATGGCAATGGTTTGAATGTCACCTGCATGTTTAAAATGGAAGCAAAGTACCATGTGCCAACAGATAAGTAACATAAAATCGAGCTAACTGGTTCAGTTTAATTGCCTACAATAAACTAAACACAAATATTTGTCAAAACCTAGAAACTGTAGAAAGTTTATTTGATCTATTATATTATTTCAAAAGGAGTAACCTACCTTGTGCCTTATTAAACACAAACAGGGATTACATTTAAATATAAAATCTTTATCTCCGTAGGACACCTTCAGAATTTTAATCATCTTAAGGTACTCACTCACCTAGTTATTACCCACTTTCACAGGCCTCATTTTCCATTAGTTTTTCAGTGATTGTGAAGTAATTTCTTGACTCCATTAACATTATTTTTCCTGTTATTTTCAAACGAAATTCCATGATTTCTTTTCCAGACCTTACTCAGTATTTCTGTCAAGAGCTCTTTTTCCAGGTGTGAATATATTTCAATACATACACAGAATGCAAGGAAATATAGCTACACAGATTTCATTTTAATTATACGCACAAAGTCACAAGCTGAGCTTTGTTATACTTTAAAACACTTATTTCAACTAACTGCCAAGCTACGCTGCTGTTAATAAAAGGCATCTCAAACATTAAAGGGGAAGATCTTAAGTTTCATCTACTGTCATCATTGAAATGTAGTCTCTGTAGTGAACAGTATTTGTTTCTGGATCTAGAGCAGTGGAGAGCATGTCCTCCATTTCTTCCTGAGTAAAGGGCTCACCTGAAAGACAGCAGAGACACTTTGTCTTGATAAATATTGTTTTCAGGACTGGCAAATTACACCACTTTTCCCTTGCAAGGATCTCCTTTTGGTCCTCACACAGAGGAGAAGAGGAGCAATACTAAGGATCTGATTCCTTCACTCTTGCCAATGTAAGTCCTGCACACCAAGCAAGCTGGTCTATGGGAGACAGAGGGCCTGGATCTTCTGATCTCCTTTTAGTTCACAGACTCCAAAACAGCTGTTCCTCTCTGCCACAGGGATTTCAAAACAACCATTTTTGTCAGAATGAATTCTTCTAATGTATACATTAGAATTATTATCTCTCATTTGGCTACCCTTGCACTTGTATTTACATCTTGAAAGGCTTCTGGTTTTTCTCTTTTAGGAGCTTCAAAGCTGCTGATGGCCTACTTCATCCCTCTTTGAGAACAAGGCTCCCATCTGAGGATAGGTCTTGCACAAAGCCTGCACATCATTTCATACTTGAGGGCCGCAGGCATGAGTCAGCCATACAAGAAAAGCAGGCTCTTCAAGGGATATTGAGGATTACATGATATACAACTTAAATTTGGTCTTTGAATCTCTTTGTTTGTGTACAGAACTAGAATTAAGATCAAGATAATGTAGGAATGAACGAGTACTGAAACTACCTGAAACATTTGGAAATCTAAACTACAATTTTACAGGAAGACAGAAAAAGAATCACATCCTTAGGCAGCACAGAATCATAAAATATCCACATGAGATTGAATTGTAACCCTTAAAAATAATCATCTCTATCTTATAATGTCTGCAAGCAGGCAGATAAATGTTCTTTCCCTGTTATTCACCAGAAAAATGTTCTAGTCTGCAGCCACTGATCACGGCAACAGTACTGTTTGAAGACAATGTCTCTACTCCCGCAAGTTTTGGCATGCAAAATGAGGACCTCAAGGTGCCATATACACGTAAAGTTTATTTACTTAAATACTGATATTAAAAAAGTCATGTTACCTTCTTCAGTCAGGTATTTGACCAGCTTCTCTTTACTAATATACCCACATTTATTCTCATCCAAAGCCTTTAAAGAAAAAGAAGAAAACATGGATTTTGCCATACTGAATCAAGAATCAGCAACTTTTTTACAGCAATTAGGAACTTGAATATTTAGTTACAGACCTCAAATGCATGTAGAAGAACATCTTCTGGAATAGGCCGGTAGCTGAAACCATTGAATCAGAAAAGTTAGGTCACTGCCAGGCTGCTGTACTATTCTGCAAGAATAAAATACGAGTACTAAAGGAAAGGGAAAAATTATTTTCTATGAGAATTTACTAAGTTTGTCTATCAAACATTTAATTCCAGCTCGACTTTTTGAAACCGTCCATATCTTTACCTCATGTCTTTTATTGTACTCCTGTGTAATTCTCCTTGTGCTAAGGAGCTAGATAAATAGCTTCTGCATGTCTGGGCTGGCTAAGTGGGTTAGTAGGAATCAATAATAGCTGAATCGTTCCACGTACCCAATGCACTGAACAGAAGATGGCCAAACCAAGAAAACAAAGGTTTGTCCAGGTACGCTGGTAGCTAGGCAACCGATCACCTAGTGGGAGTTTGACAGTCTAACGAGCTGACGAAGAGCAAAGGAGGCTGGTAGCTATAAAAGCAAAGGTCTGTCACTCCCAGTTTCGGAGAGACAGGAGAACTGGGCACATGCGTGCATGTGTACGAATGCCTGATTTCAGAGCTGGAAACCCTGTGCAGCAATGGAGACCTTCCATATCCCAGCAGACTCTCACCAACCCCCAAGAAATCTAAAGAGAAGTTGTTGAAGCCAGGGAGGTTCTAACTCATTGGTTGTTTCATCCAGACCTGCCTCGCTCTTTTACTATCTAAAACTCAAATGTGCAAAGAGGCGGCCTTGTTTTTTGTGAACCAAATCTCATATGCCCTTGGATAAGTAAACTATAGACATTGTGCCCCAAAAGATAAAGTGGGTCTTGACAAGCCTGCGCTAGCCTGGGGAAAGTGTGTGGGGTTGGTTTCAAGGTTTGTGTGTGTATGTTTGTGTGGAAGGGGTGTGGAGGAGGAGAACAGAGCCCAGAGCAGCAAGGTATCATTTTGTGAAAGGCTGAACATCAGTGTGAAGCCAGAAATGTGCCATGAAGACCAGAGAAGGCAAAGGTGCAGGAACCTAGAAAGGCAATGCACCTGCTCTGGCACACCGGGACCCAAATGCTGATGGCAGCTTTGTGTCCAGGCACAGAGACTCTCAAACACAGCTGCAAGGCTGCAAGACATTTTTGGGAAATCCTAGAGCTATTTCATGTGAGGAACAACCTCCTATCAAAGTCCCTCTGTGTGCAAAATAACTTCTCAGTATTGTATAAGACTGAGTCTCCCAAAACCCTTGGCTACCATCTTTAAAAAGAAAGATAAATTCCCTACAAGTAATGTTGTTTTTAGTGCAAAATATCAAAATAGCACAAGTCCCTGTGTACATGCAAAGATTTCTGTGTACCTTTGGATAATGAACAGAGTTTTTGTTCTAGACTTATAGATCAGCAGTCTTTTAGAGTGCTAGTTGTGTACATTCAACTGTACCTGGCAGTCATTTTGAGACCTGAATATAAAGCTGATTTATACAACTTATTAAAAATACACTGTAACAGACTGTGCTTCTCAGTACTGGTAACTCATATGTTCAGAGAAAGTAATGGTTATGACCTTAATTTACATGTAAAATATTTCAGAGATGCAGAAAACGTTGAATAGCAAGTTAATCCTGATTCTCTAAAAATACAAAAGCTACTCATTATCACAATGCATGATTATAAGATGATATTATTTATATCATCTGTACAACATAATTTTATGTAGACAAAGTAACTTTGAAACAAAACCTATGAAGTGAATGTAAACTGAGTTTTAATAACAAAAAAAAAGGTGTAGTCCTTCCAGTTACATAAAGTTACTGTAGATACATTTATTCAGAATCAATCCTGTCAATCTAGAATCAACTACAGACACAGAAAATCCACTTTCCATTACCTCCTGTCAAGTAGTACTTTTGTCATCACTGGAAGAAATTTTTCCAGATGAATGTATCCGGTCGGCTCTTCTTCTTCTACCTAAAAATAAAACTAAGTATGGCAGGTTATATGACTCATTAGCAAACTAATACGAAAACCAGAAAACTGGGGTTGTTTCTGCATTAAAATTACAGAGTTAGACTTTGAATATTTATATCAGGGTTTTAATATCATACGGCACCATAACATCTGAGTGAAATGCTGGTGATCAAATAGAAAGAAATTAGAGGAAGAAATAATATCCCAGGCAAAATACAGGCCTGCTATTATGGACACTTTCAACAACTCAATATTGCCCTCTTGTGCTTAGAAACCATTCATGCAAAGGAACTGGACGCCTAGTAACTGATCTTCCACAATAACTCAGTAGAGGTTTAAACACTCAGACTGCATTCATACTAGAAAAATCTAGCAGGACCTGGAACATTCCCAAGCAGTGTAGCGTGACCACCCATAACAGCAAACCATTAGCACGTCCCTTGGCATGATTTTGGCCTGCGCCACCTAACACCCCCACAGCAGTCACCAGGCCTGGCTAGGAGCTTAGGGACTTTTCCCCAGCAGGCTGCTTTGTGCAGCCACTCCACATAAAACATTTACCAGGGTAGACACGAGCTGCTCGGTGCCAGCTGGCTTCAACACCCAAGGATGTTTATGGGCATATTTAATGTGCTAGTTTGGACATAGCCCCAGTCTAGTACACCTCAACGATGGAATTTGTTGCCTCCACATGTTTCATAGCCAGAGAGAGTCACCAGGGGAAGGACCAAAGAGGCAGGCAGATTGAGTCAGGGCAGTCTGAAATAATCATAAGGCAGCCCATAAAATGCTACACAAAGAAAAGGTTCCCTTTGCCTCCCAAAAAATTATCAGATTAGTCCCAAAATATCGGGGACTTCAAGCAGCATTCTCACTGCATTCTTATACTTCCACAGGAGATGAGCAACATGGTAAGAACTGCTCCCTGGTGCATCCCTTCCCTGAAAATTCCAAGTTTCACTCCCAGAAAGAGCCCTCTTAATGGAGCTAACCTGTTCCTGTCTTGAAACTGGATGCATGCCTTGTGGTCTCACATGGCAGCAGCGACACCTTGCTAGGGTCTCCATGGACACAGCTCAGATTGAAAGAAGGCTCAAATAGGCACTGATTTGAAATCTCCTCACTGAGCCAGGAAAAGATGGAGTAAGAAATCTTCCTCTTGGGAGCCAGGTCAGAGCTGGGGGTGATGCCTGATACATCCAGTTGGTCAAATGGAGAGCTGCTACTGCTGCTGCATGCTCTTTTCCAGTGCTCTTGAAGGGTTTTGGTTGCTAAAAGCAGGCAGCCACCACTTCTTGCTGCTTTAGAGTGGAAATTGGCTTGAAAAAGCACTTTTTCCCCCTCTTCTGTTTGGTGAGCCTAGTGGAACGGATCTTTAGCAAGGAAACGAAGCTGTTGTATGCTTCATGCTGAATCAAATGGCACCTTTTACCATTACAGATTCATTTGTTTTACCGCTTGATTGATTGAAAAGATGTAACAAAATACCTTGCAAAACTTAACTTCTTTCCAGTGACATAACAGCTAGTCAATACACTGAACTATTCCATACATCACAAATACTGAGATGTAAAAGTATGCAGGGTGTTTAAGGGAACGTCCATGTTTCAACTAGTATTAGGTCAACAGTCAACAGAGACAGAAGAAAGAACTATGGTAGCTATTTATTGGAAATAGATGTGTCTTATAATAATCAGAACAACCAAAAGCAAGGACCCAAAACATCCATGAAGATGGTAAGTTATATAAACCATATTTAAGAACCAAAAAACATTCGATCTCATCCAAACAGTTGAAGGTCATCCTAATTTTCATACCAGAAGAACTCACCAGCAATGACCACTTCAGAGCTCAACATAACAAATACCTGTGAAAGTTTCAGCCCTCACAAAACAAATATAATCCAGATTTGTCTTTCGGTTGGTGGGCTATTTGTGTTCTGCCTTCAGAAAGCAGCCTGTGGAAGAAATGTGTCCTTCCTCACAATAGATCTAGTTCTGAGCAGTGACGAGCAACCTCAGCTTCCCTGACCTAGAAAGAACAGCTTCCATTTCAGTGGCTCTACAGGCCCAGTGACATCTTGAACTGTTAAAATTAATCCCATTTCTAACATTGGATAGATATGTGAATAAATTGAATATATTAACCTTGATGTTTTCCTTTTTCTGTAATTCCTCCCCTTCACACAGTGACTGTGACAGTAACAGCATTCACTTGGTCAAACTCTGGGAGTTTTGCTCCGTCTCGCTCCTTTGGGTACATCTACAGCTCCCATAACTACAGTATTGTGGTACCTATTATGTTTTGTACCTCTGCTCTCACAACCATACTATTATTGTCCACATAACATTTGGGGACTTGTGTCACAAAGAAACAAAGCCATCTTCCAGAGTTATCCAGATCTGTGGCAGAGCAATGCATTGCACCTGGGCTTTCAAACTCCAGGCATTGTCGTAACCCTTGGATTAGCTTTCACCATCTCTAGGCTTATCATTTATTCATAGCTTTGTAAGTAGGCCTAAACATATGATATTAAGTATAGCATTTAGCATAAGGCAATATGGGCAACAGTTTATGATAATTTTTAGAGATAAAATAATTATATGAATGCTGATTTGGCAGATATGAATAATCTGAAGGCAACATATGCTAGTTTAGCTACAATAAGGCTAATAGGAAGATGAGATGACTGAGATACGCAAGCAGTGAGAAACAGAAATGAGTGACAGCTTATGACAGGCAAAAATACTAGAGAAATGGCTTATTTACAAACTGGCCAACAGAGACAATTTTTACTTTATCTAAATTAAGATAAAATCATATTACCATAGTCAATGATAACGGTATCTTATATAAATTAAGATATATTTGTGATTAACGAAATATATTAAGGATTCTACAAGATGACAGTGTTCTTCTGGTACTAAACCTATGCCAAGGTTTCCTTTACAAGCACCATGAAACATTCTTTGAGATTTAACTTCCAGCTCAGTGGTCTTGAATGTATCCTTTCTTCTTGCAGTATTTCTGCTTTAATTCAATATCCTTATAATCAACAATTGCATACATGTTATACTGTTGTATCTCAAGAATCTTCCACTTCATAGCTGCATTGCATTGTACTTTATGTATTACTTATCTCAAATTTTCAGTAATGCTGAAAATCAGAATCCTTTTCTCAATTCTGTATCTTGAGTCAGTTGCACTGCTCATTTGCTGCAAACAAAAAACTCTGTGGGACACTAAAAATATCCATATTAAGCATCGTAACTTCTCTTTCAATTTTGTCTTGTTTGTCAGTGGGAGCTGGGACAATCTGGTACTGAGAGTACAGAACCAGAGCAGACAGATTGCAGTATCATGTTAAAAGATCTTTCTCCTTTGATGGTTCTTTGCACTTCCCCATCTGAAGCAGCTGCACCATTTTCACAAGACTTAACACACGATTTCTCACACGAAATTCTGATCTACAAGAGATCAGACAAGCCTACTGAGGAGAGACTGCTACTGCAACCATCCAAGTTTTTGTTGGGGACAGGAAGAAGAGAGATCAGTTCCCAGTATCCTGACCTATACACGAAAAAGAAAAATCCTTCCCCCACATCTCAGCCCCAGCATCTTCCATTCCTTAAGGCAGCATATCAGTTTGCAAAAAGGATGTAAAGTCTTTTCCCACTTCTTTGTCCCATTTATTAACCATACCCTGCCAAGGCACCCAGCACACTATCCTTTCTATTCCAAGTATGAGGTAACGAGACAAAAATTAGTGTATGAAAAAAACTGTGGAGAAATGTGACTGAGGTTCCTTATCCCCGCATATCACTGGGAGAATGGAAGGATCACTAGATCTTGAGAGGTTTTATGTCTGAATTCTGACTTACGGGCTTAAGCAATCAAGTAAGAAAAAATTACTTATCTATAACCGAGAAATCTCAAGACTGGGAGAGAATTCATGAAGGACAGAAAGTTGAGGGTCTGGCTATAAGATAGCAATAACAAGACCCAGTGAAAAAAATAGCAGGTCTGCCCTCTGTGTATTTTTGGAATTTGATGTATAATTTTAACACCTGCTCAAGAACTGATTTTTACTACTTAATCACCCAGCATTTATCCATGGCACGTCCAGAGATGGTTAGGGCTTGGATATCCTAATCCAATTGAGGTTTAGGACGTTCTTTTTCATTAGCCAAAACCAATTTTTCCTCTGTTTTCTATAAATGGCCTCCATCTTGGTACAGTCCCACAGTGATGTTCTGGGGTAAAAGAGAGTCAGACTCCTCATTTTAACCCATCACTGTTGTTACCTCATCAGCCTAAAGGCTTGCTTCAGGGCAACCTGAAAGACTGGCTGTCTGCCTGAATCACTTCCATGACACTTCCGACCTCTGGGAAGAGAGCTCAGGTTTCCCATACAGCAAGGCAGAAGGGCCAAACTTGTGCAAGTTTAAGACTGAAAAAAACCACAAAAGACCTAAACATTTACCTTTGCAAGCAGTTCATGTAGTTCTGCCTCAGTTGGGAAGCAACCCAGTGACCTGACAATTGAACCAATCTCTCTGAAAGAAACAAAGAATATCTTTGCCAGTAAATCTGCAATACAAGTGTGTCTGTGGAGAATCCAAATACCAATTCAGACCTTGTGTATAGGAGTGTGCATGTACAAGCACACAAGCATATGTAATTGGACTTCTCAGTTGATGTCTCAGTAAGCAATGTCTACTTTTACAGACATTAAATATTCTGGAGCTTTTTGGAAGAGTATAACCATTCTTGTGAATTTGCCTAAAAATGCCTCTTTACCATTGTGTTGAAGTGGACCGTGTGCAGGTTACTTTTCAACTACTGTCCTCTAATTGTTAAGCTTCATTTCAGTAATGTCTACATTTATACAGTTAATAAAACACTTTGAAACCTACTGAGATGAAAGGTAACAAATGAAATACATGTTTACATTAAATGCTATAAAGATACAAATTCTAACTGCAGTAAGGAACAATTACAAAAGGTCAGGAAGGAGGCAGCCCTGCTATGCCCCTGCTGTGCTCTGAAAGAGTCAAACAGACCAACACAGTGGCTTATCACCACCCTGTTTATGCTGC